AAATGTTTATTTATATTTACATACGTATAATATAGTAACTCATTATATACTTTAATTTAAGAAAAGTGTAATTTATAATTATACTATTATATTTTTAGAATTGGGATCTAATAGATCCCACGCGATATGAATGTTAAAAGAGAAAAGCGTCTGCTTAGTGCTTAATAATATGAGACATTGGCCGCTGTGCATAGTTTTATAACGTACCTATCTATCTGTTTTACTTGTTTACACTTTACATGAGTAGTATACGATTTAATCATTAAATTATGACTGGGAACTGATACGAAACACTTATAACTGTATTGATTCGTCGAACGTAGTAAGTACATAATGATATTATACCTACCAGGAATTATATAATTACAATTAATTCTTATTTCTTGGATCGCTTATACTGCAATGAGTGCAGTCTTGGGTCAGGGAATGGAATAGTGTTTTATTTTTTTAAATGCTCCCGAGGCTTTATTATTTAAACGATCCAAAGGTATTTATAAAAAATGTTTAAAAAATATGCACACATGTATATTTATGTATACATTTCATGCACTAAATATAAATAATATTTATAATACGAGTTGATGAAGGTGCACTTTCAACGATGTGGCATCTGCTTCTAATCTAGACTTAAACTAAGTCATATGGTTTCAGATACTTAAGCGTTTTATTTTTCAAAAAAATGTGTTGAATGTTTTATTTTTTTTTATCTGATATTGATGACACTGAATTTAAAACAAACGCGTAAAGCATATATATATATATTATATTTAACGAGGGATTCCATTAAACATATTTCTCAGTACCAAGTACAATAGATTTGATGAATATAACAAATACAATAGAATATTAATGCTTTAAAACCGGATTGCTGAATACATTTTATGGGTATCAAGGACGAATAAAATGAAAACCATTACAAGGGTTTTAATCCTCTATAAAATTAATAACAAAAAGTGGTCCAAGATTTATACATCATGGTTGATTTAGAGAAAAATAATGTGCTAATAAGAGCACATAAATTGTACACGAAAAAAAAAATTTCTGAATCCATTAAAATTAAGACCTCCATATAATATGTAAAAATAATTAATTCTTTATATTAATTACTGTTATAATAGCTAATTAAAAAAATGTATGATTCACAATAAAAGCATTATAATTTAGGATACAATTATAAAATATATACAGTACACTAAATATTTTAAGAAATGTACACATAGAATAAAATGTTTAAGTATTTTTTTAATTCATTATGACGGATTAACATCCGTAATTTACTCATTCTATTAATATTATACCTATTGTTGTAACTATGAATTTAAATTAGTCATCGATACAGAATTCGTACATTGATAACCCGTCGTGTTTCAATTCATATAATTTTTATCAAAAAACTTTTATTGCGGAAGTAAATTTTTGAAAGATATTAGGTACAACAATAATGCAGCAAATACATGTTGATAAATAATACATAGCATTTGAATAATGTTTAGTGTCTGGCACTTTGTTTGATAAAGTCATATTTTAATTTTTTTTTTACACAAGAATATAAATCTCAATGACATATTAAGAATTTTTTTTTTTTTTGACGATGAGAGGATATGTTTTTATTTAGAGCTTACTAACTTGAAGGTAAGTTCTATCCCTCGTCTCATCATCTAAGTTATAACTGATAAGTTAATAACATTTTAAACAAAAAATATGTTGCCAAATGATACGAGTATATAAAGCGTTTTATGAGCTGTTAAATATTTTTCACTCAAACATTATATTATTATAAAAACCATAGATATGTATGACATTTAATGATTATTACTTTATTATATTATGCATAATTAATAGTCATAGTCATTAGCATATTTAAAAAACAAAATAACAAAATTTCTATTTTTTGACGTCTAACTCATCAATAGCTTTGTCATAGTTTTTATATCTTGGTGACATGCGAATAAGTATAAACCCATTTAGTTTATTTTTACCTATGCGTGATCGTTAAAATATAAATATTTTAATTATGTTTTGTATCTATGACTGTTGGTACATTTTTAGTGCCTGCTCATATTCATTTATTGAGCTCATATTTATTTTCTTAGAATCAATGTTGTACATTTGAGCATTAATTATTGTTATTATTTATCATTTTTCGTCAATCGTGAACAAAATATTTAAATGCCAACTACTTCGGACGCAAGTTTTTTTGTTTGTATTATTAAAAAATATATTTTTGGAATATTGAAAAAAAAACTATTTAAAACAAAATAAGGTCTTTATTTATTAGTCATATAACCCGTGTAAATACGCTACTGATGGATTAAGATTCTTTGCTTGGGTGCAGTACATTGTATGCATATTACTTAACGAACAGAAGAATAATTACCGACCTGGTATATGAAAACTTTTAAACATTTTGTAATCTTTACAAACGTACACTGCTACAAATTTTAAGTTCTATTTACGTGATGATTGTGAAATAAGTTTATACTTAAAAGAGCATTTTTCTTTTATTAAACTGTTTGAGATGGTTGTGTGTAGCATGTAGTATATATCAGTACAGGAATATAATATTATTTAAATACACATTGCATACTAGTTCATTGTGTATGTAGCACTCGGGTTAAATGGAATTAGTTATCTTTTAAATTAGAAAACATCTCTGTTGGCGAATAGTACTTTCATGTAATAATATGTTTCTTTTAGAGTTATTTCGATTTAATGATGTTGTACTTACAATTTAAAGTTAAAAAGTAAATTTACCGAATGCTAAAGTCTCTTTTCTTAATAATATGGAATTAAACTTTTCAACTTGGTAAATAATTTTTAAAATTTAAACTTTTATAATCTACATGAATAAAATAATGCAATGAAACGGGAAAAAAATAATTAAAACATTTTTAATAAATAATTTTTTATTTGGTTTAAAACTTTTTTTCGAGAATAATTAGACTTTATTAACAAGATGACCAAAATCAATAACATCCATCGTTAAAATCACTGATCGGTACCCAACTAAATAAAAGTAAACATGATATTATTTTATACATTGCGTTTTGGGTTGCATAACGTTCTGGTGAACAAAATAATAATTATGTAATGTTATAATAATTACAAGAAACGCTACTGTTTACACATACATGCGATATTCTCGTATATATAATATATACATTTTACAACATAGTATATTGATGACAGTTGAAATGGCGCACTTTATTGCCGTGGTATTTGTGCGAATAATAACGTAAACAGCTTTGACTTATGCAACTTATGCAATGGTGATACATTTATGATATAATTCATAATGCACTGCTATTACAATGGCCAATCGACGAAAAATCAATCGAATTATATTATTTTAATCGTGTGTGAGGGAAGTTGAGCAGCGTTAGGGAATACTGAGGGGTCGATCATTATTGAGTGTATACCTAACTATATTAGTGTACAATATCAATAAAACGATGAATAATATTGAAACGGTGCATTACCCTGTTAAATATAAAATATACACACTATACAATGTTTTCGTGTATATAGTTATCAACTACGTTCAGTCTTTAAATTTAATATTATGACACATTGACATGGCTGTTTGAAATTCAATTATTTGAAGAATATTATTAATAATTCGAATCAAAAATAATCTACACAAATGTTGGTTATCTCTACAAACTTTCAAGTATAATTCCTATTTAAAGATAAACAAAAAATAATGGTCATAGTTATTATAGGTAATAAACAGAGCTCTTGAATAATTATTGTAATATTTTTGAAAAATACCAATAAACTGTTTTGAGTTATTCACGTTTATCAAATTATTTATTCTTATAGTTTTCATTTACGCGACATTATATGTATAAACTCCATCATTAAGATAGAGTACATAATATATAATAAATTTACATAATATTTAGTTATACTCGTACTAATAAGTTTCTTACAAGTACGTGCTTTATCGATGTTGGAGGTGTATTTTTGTACTTTTTTTATTACTTCAGTAATGATGACGAGAAAACAGCGTGTACCTACAGACCATTTTTCGTCTTTTGTATAAAATTTTCATTTGCATTAAATCGTAATATATATAATACGAGGTGAGGTGTGATTCACCAAGCATACTCACTCAATAGATACGGTAACTAAAATGTATAGTTACATAAAATATAAAATAGATGTTTTATTTAATCTATTATACTTATATTAAGACTAAGTATTTTTACTGAGAGAATTTTTAACTCGGTATTTTCTGTTATTATTGTGTTTAATATTTACTGACTATACCTACTTATTTTTCAATAAATGTAACAGATAGCCTGATTGAAAAATTTTTTAAACAATAACTTAATATACAATTGATAATTTTTAAAAACGTGAAATTTTAATGTTTTTATATTAACTTATTTAACATTACTACAATATGTCAAATCATTATAGCTTCCATATAATTAAACTTATATTATATTATTATCGAGAGATATTATTCATATAGTTCGTAAATAAAGTTTAATAATTCAAAAACTATATTTGTTAGAATTTTGATATATACATATACATTTTAAAAAAAGTAATAGAATGAACAATAATTATTATAGTAAAAATAATGGTTTCCATTTAAAAAATAAATTAATCATTATTTTTGGTCAATATAACACAATTTTTAAGTCATAAAAATCAGATATTTGAAACAAAAAATGGTGATCAAGCAAAAAAAAACTTAAACATTTTAATGATGTAAATACATTATTAAACAAACAAATGGGGTGAGTATACTTGATGAATTACTATATGTCTATATACATATATAATATACCTGTGTAATGTGTATTTATACATGGGAAATCTGTCACCGTCGATTAACTGTACGTAAGTTTCGGCCATTTGGGTGAAAAAAAAAATGCATCGCAGGCACATGATTCATTACCAGCGGACGCCTATTCGTGCGTGTGTGCGTACAGTCCTTGCATCCCGAGAGGTAGGGAAAGTCTATAAGAACGCGGTCATCGCGTCTGCCTTCACCAGTGTTATTACTACCGATAACTGTGATACACTGTATTAACATAATACGATATTACATTATCAATCGGAGTCCATTATTGTCGTCAGTCGAACATACGGAACTATGAACCGATCGTCGTCAAGTCTCGTCATGAAAGTGAGTACTTACTTAATAAACTTCAGTAAAAACTAAGCCCGTCGTTATGATAATTATTATTGTCTATTGCAAAGTAGTCGACGATTATTTTAATTATTAATTATTAAAAGTTTTAAGTTCTTCATATATTTTTTTTTTTTTTAATTCAACGGTTTCGTAAGTGGTTGTTATTATCTATAGAATATTATAGTTTTACATTTTTTTTTATAACCGCAATTTTTCATTAAATGTTTTCTCGATTTATAATATGGTTATGCAGAAAAATTAGACAAATTATTAAATAAGATTTAAATGTTAGCGCGAAAATGTTAAATACGCATTCTTCACTAAACTATTGACGATGAAATTAACGCTTCCGGTCGCACGAGGACAATGAATCGATGTGTGCGTATGTCAAAAATAATAACACATTTATAGACGCGCCGTGATATAATAATACACTAATCAAAGTTGTGGGCATTTTATAATTCACGATATGATGACCTCCATGCATAAATCTTAATTTTTAGGCATTTCGTGACATTATCCAGGGTTGTGAAATTCCATAAAGACTGCAGAAACTGTATTTTACATTGATTCACCATTGGTTGTTGTTATTTTGAAGTATTAAAAACGGCTATTAACGAAATAGGAATCGATTGTTATACAATTCGTTAACTTATAATGTTTAATAACTATATAAGAAAACGGTATTTTTTAACACAAACTAAATGTATCTTTATTTCATGATTGAACTGCTATGCCAGCATAACAACGAAACACAGTGTAATTCTTCGAATACTAACCACTTATTTTCTTGTTTTCTTAAAAAATATAAAGATATATTTTAAAATGATTTAAAATACTTAAAAGATCATTGATAATTGGAGTAAAGTACGACAAGCAATGTTTTGTTGAAATATAAAGTATTGATTCTGCTCATATTCAATTTAAAGACTATAAGTTATTAATAATAAGAAAAAAACAACAATTGAATATTTTTAAATTATACATCAATATTTCAATAACAAAATATTATACAACTGGGAAAAATAATTCTAAAACATGAATTGTCTTTTATAAAAGTAAAAATTATTATAAAATTGTCATACATTTGTTCTGTTAGTAAAAATAATATAATATTATAACTTATAAGTATATAAATATTAAAAAAAAATAATATATTAATTAAATAGTATAGTAAGTGTTCTAGGTTAAAAAAATTATCTATATCATAGTACCAGTTCCGTGCATATTTTCCTGACCAAATTTAAAATACATTCTAAATAGTAAATAATTTATCAATAAAGTTGAAAGAAGAATTTTTTTTTAAATTGTAAAAACAATTATTATAATTTAAATATTTCTTGGATTCTTTTATTGAGTTTTAAAGTTGAAATTGTCTGGAATTTGAAATAGTTATATTAAATATACTTACTGTATTTATGTTATCGTTGACATATTTCTTTATTTAATTTTAATCGTCTCTTGAGCAAAAACTAATAGTGTAGTGTGTTAACTATACTTATAAGTGCTCATCGGTTACGTTTTAAAAGAATACATTGGTAAAATATTCTGCTATTTAATTATTTAGAAATCGACAATATGTACAATGTAAATTTAATAGTGTTTTTATAACTTTTTAAGATAACATTAGGCTTTAAAGTAACATAGTTCGAAAGATTATAATTTCATATATCACGTTAATTATGTCAGTATACTACTTAATTATGTACTTATATATCTACCTATATATTATACACATGTATATATTCTGTTAATAATTTATTATCTATCTATCTGAAAGCTGTGGTTTTTTTATAATACGTGATTATAATTTTTTTTAAAGATATAACTTATACACTTTAACTTTGTATAGCCTTTTGAATTAAGATTTTGCCACGTGTTTATATGAATTCAAGTGAACTTAATGCAATATATTTTTTTAACGAACATGATAAATTTTTAACGTAATTAATTTTAATCACGATTGAAATATCTCTGTCTTAAATACACAAAAAAATATCAAATTTTCTCAGTTTATTTAGTTTAAAACGCCTGACTAGTTAATAAAACTTTTATTTGATCCATCAAAAGTAGGTACCCATATTGACATTACGCTAACCGGAGATTACTATGTTTTACAGTTTAAGAGGAAAAAATTATCTCTCCTCGTAAAGTAAAATGAAGAAAAAAAGTTTTATCTTATATAATATTATACTCGTAAGGAAAAAGACAAAGTTAAACAATAATTGGAAGGTTTTATTTTTGAAAACTTAAAAGAGAAATATTTTTAATAATTATTATTTAATCTGCAATTTCAATAACAAAAGTGAAATAATATTAAAACATTTATAATTAATATTATTGCTTGACTGTATTTTAACTATTAACATAGATCAACATATAAAATAATTATAATTAAAATTTTCAGAGTAATATTTTTATGTCTTAACCGAAGCCGATGTTGTCGTTAAAACATGTATTTTCTTGTTTTTTGAGTGGTATTTGTAGGTAATCCGTATAGACAATAATAATGTTGCTGTATAGTTAAGTTTTGAGGAGGGCGAATTTCAATTAAAATGTTCGCTGTCACCGTAAAATTTTCTAAGTACTAATGGCGAATTCAAAATGTTTATTTCAAAATAAACTTTCTATATTGTCGGAAATATGATAATATGACGATAACAGAAGAATAACTTGATTTGTGTTGGGTTCGAAAACAGCTACTCAAAGTTATAAGAGCCAATCGCCAGTCCTATATACCAATACTCGAGTATTCCCTTTTGCTAATTAATAACTATTGTAGTGTTAGACTTAACTAATCTTTGATAAAAGCACCTTTATTATTATTTTGATGTATGTGTTGAAGTGAATTAACGAATTTATATGTTCTAATAATTATAATAAGTAAACCGTCAGAATCTAAATGTATTTAAAAAATATTCAATACTGCAGTTTATTTATCTTTTTTTAAAATCTTATTGTTACTATGCATTTTATATACTTTAAATATTATATTTTATTATTACAACAATTTTGCAAACCCTGTTTGTTTTAAAAATATTCTCAAATTTATCTACTAAATATAAATACAATATTTCAAGTAAATTTTAAATTTTATAAAAAGTATTATCTATTTTATTTTTACATATTTACTTTTGTAAACAATAGTATACATTCTTAATTCTACATTAAAAAAAAAAAAAAATATTTATTGATGAAAATTTCAATAAATAAAAATAGAATTTTGAATGAGTTAATTGGTGAATTATTTAAAATATATTAATTTGGATGGGCGAAATGAGGTGTTACAATTTTGCGAGTTACTCGCAAAATTACTATTTCTGCTCCATTCTACTTCATTCAAAAATGCTACTCCATTTATCTATCAACAAAATCAATTATAAAATTAAAATCACTAAAAACTCTTTTTAATAACTTTTTCCTTTTTATATAATAATGTATATTAGATTTTTATCAAACTTTTGAATGAGTTGCTTTTTTATGCCATCGTACTACCGTAGATTTCATGTTTACCATTGCAATTGTGATATAAATAACAATAATGCTTTTAAATGAAAAATAAAATACATTTTACGAAAAATTAATTTTTAAAAATTATTTGTTTGACATTTTACATAAATATTATTTTATACGTTATTTGAACATGAACAGTTTCATAGAAAAAAATTAAGAACCAAATTTGAACAAATTATCATGTAAAACATAATAGAATTATAGTAATTAAATTTAAATGTATTTTTAACTAGTGATAAATTAGTAACACATTGAAATTTACTTTAAAATTATTATTTAAAAAAAAAAAAAAAATGTTAGTTTTTAATCAAAATATAGTACTACATAAATAACTTCGCTATCAGTCTGCTAGGTTTACTGACACTATGACGTATCGATTAGTATATAATACAGCCATGTAGGTAATAAAATCATATTATGATTTATCTCTAGTTTATCGTTTATTTTAAAAACGAAACAGGAAGTGTTAATGTAAGATACACATGTATTTTCTCGGGTTGTTATCTACAATATGTGTAAGAGTGAATAGTTGAAATAAACTTAGAAATTATTAAATCTAACGACTTTTTGATACGCATGTGTTAAATTATAGGTTGACTTTTAGTTTTATTAATAAAAATATGACACCACAAATTACACAGTATTCGCAAAAAATACACACCATTCATTTATTTCATATAATTTAACGTTTATAATATTGTTATTCTACTAATTGTACAGTATATATTATTACGTATTTTATAGTTAAGAAAATGTAATGTAAACTGAATTTATTAGACAATGCTTTATTTATTGAGTACATTATTGTACTTGATTTTTTAAAATCTGAATACAATTTTAAAATTTACATAGTTATTTTTTTTCTTTTATCCAAAATCTTGTAGTCAATAGTGGAATGTTTATCATTTTAAAATGAAATATTAATAATGTTTTTTATTTATTTTCATGTTTTATTCATTACGAATAAACTGATGTCACGTTATCGACGTTTTTATAATAAGTATAATTTTATTAATAACGTTTTCATAACAATGAATTGTTTTTATTTTTTGTTCAGCGTGAAAATTTTTATCAAATCTTACCGATCGTTACGTATTCAAATTCGAATTATTCGCAATAGATCATAAATATTTATCGGTGAAAATAAGATAATTTATTTCGGGAAAACAACTTTGTGTTATGCGTGATTTCTTTTAAACTCTGTCTTGACAATTTCTGTTAATATTTAGGGTTTGGCACTACCTCACTCATAAACGTGCTCATGCACACACTTATGGTGGGGTTTCGGAGGTTATAAAAACTTAATCGGGCCGGGAGAAGACAGTTTTGCTGTTATTTTAAATTGAATTCCAATAAAATACGTCAAAAAAGGGGGATAGAAAGTTCTCCCTTGATTTCATTCTTACTTGGTTGAATTATAAGCGAAAAAACTGTATTACCTACCTTATACCGATTTTTTTTTCTTGGCGGGACAGGTGGTTAAAGGTCTTGTCAATTTTACGGGTTGCGTCACCAAACAGGACCGATTTCATCTGCTCGGCTGTCACCGGGCAATTTTCATATCATAAATGTTTTTTCAACCTAATATTTTTGCACTATAAATTGACTATATACCATTCCGGAGGGGTTGAAATTGCTCCCCACTAAATAAAGTTATTATGGCAGTTGTGTGTGTAGGTGTGTGATCTACGGCCGTGAATTAACATGGGTGCTATCGTTGGAGTGTCCCTGACGTTTTTACATAAACGTACTCGAAAATTTGCTGCCTGGTGAATGAGCCGAATAAAGTAGAGATGAATACGACTGATGAGTTTACGCGTACATTTATACGAATTATATAAACTGCAGTAGCCGTGAACGATTAAATTGTAAGGATGATTTTTTTTATCGTCAATTTACTGTGTTCAATGTTCATCAACTACGGTACGAGGTATTATATATTATATAAAATGATTATTTTTAAAATACAACGAGAACGTAACTGTCGTTCTTTTTTATATTTTATTTTCGCGGGTCATTTTTAAAACAAATATAACACGTAATCACTGGCTATAGTTTATAATTAATACAGATTATTAACTTTAATATTATTATGGTATATTATTTGGATAGCAGGTAGATAGCACCTCTAAAAGTATTTGCGATTTATTTATTAGAATATAACTAAAAAGGGTTAATAAATAAAAAGCTTATACATTAAATTTATTTTTTTACCATACCAATTGCCTGCATCGTATAGAAGGTAAAGAAAACTTCAACACAATTCTATGAGCACGTCATGTTGAGATTAATGAGATTTACAATTATTATGTATAATACATTTTATTGCAAAAATAGTTATAAGACAATATAATATTTGGTCAACGTTACGAAGAATTGTTACAGCACAAATCATAACCATTCGTAAGTTTATTTGGATGACTTCCAAAGCCCATTGGCTATGACGGGAAATATTCGTATTTTCTATTCCGGGGAATAGTTTTAAATGTCAACATGCTGTTTTTGAAACTTCAGTAAGGAATTATAATTCTGAGAACGGCTAAGACATTTATCCCCGGAGTAGACGTTTTAATACGTCGGTACAATACTACAACTTAAGACAATACACAATAATCCGAGACAATCGCAATAAAAATGAAAACATTTCGTTACCGTTTACTTAACACGCGTTCATTTAATGTAATAATATTTTCGTGAACTTAAAGTTCTCATACTGCCAAACTATATAATGAAATATTAAGTATCAATCGTTAATTATTTTAAGTTAGAAATTTTTTTCTTTCACAAGGTATTCGTAATCGCTGTATGCGTGTGCGCCGCCCTCGCCCATCCGGAAAATGCTAAAGCGGAAAACAAACCGGCTGTGATCAAATCTGAGACTTTGGCTGCACCACTTCCGACGACCATTGTAAAACGAGCTACTGATATGACTCAGCAAGATACATCGCTCCCGAACGTCAGCGAAGACGTACTGGATAAAGCGCTTAACGACAGGAGATTCGTGCAAAGGCAACTCAAATGTGCTACAGGTGAAGGACCGTGCGACCCCATTGGCCGAAAAATTAAAGGTATTAGTTGAAACAATAATACGTCCGAGAGATAAACCGTGTTATTATTACATTATGTACATAGGTCGAGTAAAAGTGTTTGGTTAGGTCAGGCAATCTAAGTAAAATATCGTTGTCAGTATTTTCGGTACTTTGGAAAAAAAAAAATTAAAATAATAATAACCATTCATATGTTTAGTACTATTTGTGGTAATTTTGTTTGAAAACCGTTTAAAATATTTAAAGAAACAATTATTTCGATCTGGCATCATTGATTTGTGTCGTACGCCAACGACAATAACAATATGTTGTTATCTGAAATATTGTTTTAGGCCGTGTGAGTTTATTCATAATATACTCAGTGGATTTTATTTTTATCTCAAAAACCTATAGCTCAGTACACATATATATCTGCTTTCGAATAGGTAGTAAATTAATTATTGCGCGGTCCTCGTGGTGGGCACTTATATAGAACTACAGTTACCATATTGCGGGTAGAATGTTATTCACATCAAATTTAAATACCACTTAAATTGAACATACTATTATGATATGTCACGAGTGTTAAACTAAAGTGTACATAATACTTATTGGTTAAATTAACGAAGTTATTTAAAAATGTAATTACAAGGAACAAGAATAACAAAATATTAATTAAGTAATCCGGGATTATGAGTACATGATAAATTTGTTTATTCGGAAGTATTTTGTTCTGACACATGGGGACATATAATAAAACACTATATTATTACATTTTGAAAACTTTATTCATATTTGTAGTTTGACGACCGTCCTTCGATTTATCGCTCGTTACACCTCATCGTTGATGCATTGTATTTATAATGATTGCATATATGCATCGATTTTGCCGACGTTCTGCCCAGTCGTATTATTCGATCAGACGAATTATACTATATTACATTTACGGATCATAAAATTATCAATGACGATAATTGATAATAATTATTGTATCCATTATATTTTATAACGTACATATTCTTCTGTTTCCGTCATTCTGTCTCTCTCTATTTAATTCTACGACTGCCATCTTGATTTTGTAGACGTTTTATTTTAATTGAATCGCATTTTCTTGTTTTCAGCTCATGCACCGCTGGTGTTGAGAGGAATGTGTGTCAAGTGTTCGCAGACGGAAATCAAACAGATTCAACGTGTCATGTCACATATACAGAAGAATTATCCCAAGGAGTACACTAAGATGCTGAAACAGTACCAAAGCGGATTCTAATCACGCCGTGGCGTCCGTGCACAATACTCCTGTTCGTGATCATCGTCTTTGGCATAATTTATATGAAAATCAAAAATAATATATTATATAAAAGTACAACACAATTGAATAATTAAATCTTACAAGTGTCACTCATCTAGATTTACTACGAGCCTATTATACGTAGCTGTTCTAATTATTATTTTTTTAGCATTAATTTAGTTTTATTGTTTTATTTTATTTTTATTATTATTATTATTATTTTCTGTAAATAAACGACTGATCGTAATTTTAATCTTACGAATTGATCGTGTTGTTATCGTCTGTATTGTTGTCAATACCGTTATCAATTCCGCTTTGAAACCTTAACTACCCGTAGAAATCTATTATTATAATAAATAAACGTATTACTAGTTTCCGTACACACTTCACATTCACCCTCTTTACAATCGGATTAACCGACAACTTTCGTCAAGCAATGATATATTATTATGATTCAATACCATCTAATATGATTTTTTCACCCGCAATTTTAATGCACTCCAATATGATCCAATTATATCAATACGTACCTAGGTATTATTCGTTTTATTTTTTTCTCACTTTAATATTATTTTATACTGCTTGATTTTCTTGTCACGCGTTCTAACTATGTAATAAATAATTTATTACTAACGCGTGTATTGTTGCGTATAATAAGTGTCGCGTTGTATAATATGTGTTTGTTCATTATCCTGTAGGCAATAGGCATATTATATTAAATAGGTTACAATATTAGTATGTAGCGATGTAGTGACGTCATTAAAATTTTATTCACAAGGGTAAATATTGAAGCTATCCACTCACCTACACATAAAAATAAAACTCGCCTATATTTAATTTTTTTTTATTGTTATTATTTAATACAATATAATCAAGATATTTAATGTAACCTTTAATATCTAATAATAAATACTCTACTTAATCAATATAATATATTGTATTATAATCGGTTATAAATACTAGAAGTTGCTCACGCGGAGGATTTTCGGTGGAGTACAATAAAACTTTCGGTAGATGATGATAAGAACCAACAAACTAATAAATTCGTATTTTATTCCAGACGCCGTAACTATGATGGAGCGTATTGAAAGTATAATTGGTTTTTATCGTAGCTTGCCACGCGCCTAGTGTACTATTCCGATGTAATTACTACTTTTATTTTGAATGATTTGGTCGAGTGTGACGGTAGGATAAACGGACTATGACTTACGCGATACGGGCTTTTATTAATAATTATATTATAATAAGATTTTGACCGATTTATAATATTTACTGTATAGTAGATACATTTTTTTAACAGAAAAATTGTTAAATATTACAGATAAGAAAATGATTAAAATTTACTAAAATTACACACAGTTAAAACACATACGAATATTCAAATTCGTGTAATTCAATAGATTAAAATTTTGAACAGTAGAAAGTATACTTGGGTTTTTTTTTTTATTATTGTGGATTGAGGAATAATTTAGTAATTATTGCATAATATTTGCTTGATCGAAATTGAATACTTAAAATATGTATCTTATCGATGCATGTATTATCACTCTCTTGTTCATATACCTATACAAATTATAATTAATTACAAAGTAAAAATCAGTAGGTATGTATTATAAATTACATTAGTCATCATTTTATAAATTATAACATTTTAATAGAACTTAGTTGTGTTGTAAAATCCGCAGTTTTGCCACATGTTGAATTGCTTTGTTGTGTAAATCACAATTTGTCCAAATACATTCCTTATAAATTTTAACTGTGTACAGTAATTTTATCATATAAATATAGCGTTCGTAATATGATTGGGCTTTAATAAGTACCTAGTACCTACGTCGTTGTTATCAACAGTTTTGGTTTTGTCCATTAATCGAGATAAAATTTTTTTTCGTGTTTAATTTTATTAAAATTATTGTTAAAAATATCCAAGCAGATTTTTATAGTATATAATATATATCATTAATTTTGATGGATTTTTAAGCCCTTCAATATTTTTACCATCGCCGTATATTTTATGTAATAAAAGAAATTGATTTTTACCTTGAAAATATTGTGATGTTAAAATTAATGATTCTTCACATTTAACTCACTTGAACATTTGAACATTTCCATACATCATCGCTTAGCTATATATTCAGCTAAATATACAATAGAAACATTTTCTAATGATAGATTTAAATTCAGAACAGGACTTGATTTTGATAATAGGACTTATAGGAGGAAAACTTATTTCTTCAGTTACTGTATATTTATATTAATAATTTCTTTATTTATTTTGGTCATATCGTCTTCGTTAAATTTATTTCTATTTGAATATCTTTTAGAACATCTACATTCATCATTATCATCTTAATATTTGCATTTTTCTGAACATTTTATTAGCTATATGTAAATTGGTCCCAAAACAACATCGAAATGTCCGAGAAGTTAGATTTCTATTGTAATAATTGTTTTTCTGATGCATTATAGAGAAAAACTTTTTCAGTGGATCTTGTGTAAATTGCACGATTTGTCATGATAAAAAAAAAATTTCCAGTATTTAAATATTTTTTTAGTTTTTTTAATTCATAAACGCCTAATAGTGAAGTAATAGTCCAAAAAAATTCTTCAAAACTAGGGGAAATATTTTTATTTTTATTTTTTTTTTTTTTTACAGCACTTGAAAAGTTATACACATTTTTTTTCAGATTTTTAAAAAATTCGAAATTTTCGGTCACAAATTTCAGTAAATGATTTTTTTATTGTTCTTTCAAAAAGTGAAAACATTCGTCTATTTTGTGTTTTCTGGTCATACACTAATTGATACTGATGTTAATCAAAAAGTTTTTTAATTTATTCTTTAACAATTATTGCCAAGTTATCCCCTTTTATTCCACTACCAGTTAAACAAAAACTAAGTGGGAATTTTCAGTTGTTATATAATCCCTGTACCATTATAACTAAAGCGTGAGATCCGATTTTGTCTGTTCTACCTAATGTACCAAGATCTTCATAGTCTTCGATTTCATCTTTTGATTTATTATACTGGAGAGATTTCTTTATTGTAAATTCGTCGAGTAAAACAACATATCGTTTTTCTTGATAAGACATAAAAGAATCTTTAAGTTAAATTTGCTCCATATATTTTGATGAAAAACCAGTAGAAAAATGTATTGAGTTTAGCTAACGACGTGCAGTACTCTCACCAGGTAATAAAATTGTATTCTTACACATGTATTTATAAGTAGACGGAGACTTGTAATAAATGAATAAGGCTAATTTTTTTTTCGTTTAAGGTTCATGGTTTACGCTCCTTATAGTTTATTTGTATGGAAACTAACAATTTTGAGCTTATTGAAGAAAATTTAATATCTTGTAAAAAAATTTTAATATTTATTTTCTTTCTTTTTATTTAAAAACCGTTTTTTTTTTTAAAAAAACTGATAGGTAGTAGGTCTTTTACTTTTTAATAATTTTTGCAGTCGCTTACATTTTTCTTGAAGTTTTATGTTTTTAAGTTGTAATTTTGTTGGGGAAAGAATTGCTGTGGTTATTTTTTCTTTTTTTTTTTACATTTTCTGACAAAGGCAGTGAATTTAAATTTAAAATGTATGATCGAGAAGATGGTGATATCAATAGAGTTGGGCTATCAAATAAGTTAAAAGCAGCTTCATCAGGTTTCGTGCTTTTAACAAAGGAGTTATACTTTTTAGATAGTTTTAAAACTCTAGGAGACCATTAAAGAGGATTGATTTCTTCTTGAAATAAAAAAATTAACAAATTATTTAATAATTATTTTGTAAAATATATTTGATTTTTTTTTTTTTTATTAAAGCAAAAATATTATTAGAATAAATATTATTATACATTTTTATTATTCAATATCACGCAATATGTAATACTACGTATAGTTCCTCTATTATACGGGTAAGAAAATACAGCATGACGTGCTTTATTACCATTTTTTTTTACCAAAAAAAAAAAAAACAAACAAGGAACGGGTAGAAACTATTTACCACAATACTCCTTATTACCTATGACGCGCTGACTCGTAGAGTAATTCCGTAAAATATACATATGTATATGCCATCACACGTCCACACTGCATTTTAAATTAAAATATTTTATTACTTATTCAACAACGATAGTTAAATATAAACAATGTTTACACTGTAAAAAAACAACCCACTCACCTAAAATTGTTTGGGGCGATCGTCCTGAAAAAATATGTCTGTGGTGCTACTGTACTGATCATTGCTAATAATAATATTATGCGCTGCGTGTAGTTTTTGTTTACGATAAATCGCTATACGATGACACACACCACTGTGGTGTGGCATGGCACCCAAAGTGAATAGTCGAACGTTACGACGACGCTTCAAGTTCTTCTGTTTACAAACGGTTTGAATACATAAAGACAATATCATAATGGATAAAAGCTGCTGGGAAACTCGAACGACGACCTAATAATGTAATAATATCGTTATTATAAGCGTGCACGTCATCCCAAGACGCTAGACGGTTATGCAACGGAAATGACAGTTAGCTGCTACTACTGCACTACACGATTTCTCTTGACCTTATAAAATAAGTATGGTATTTTATTTATGTATTATATAGAATGGACTTAATAATATCACAATACTCGAAACGGGCGAAACGTGATGTGAAACACAATCGCGGACGTTCGTTAGTTTACTCAATACTATTATTATTATTATTATTATGTTTTAATTAGGAACCAGATTTAAATGCAAAGTGAATTATTTTTTGAGTATTCTAGGACAATCGACTTCATGTGTATAGTTAATTTCATGTAACAGATACTTCAAAGATGGAATTTTTATTTTGTATTTGTCAACGTTTTTACAATTTGTTGACATATCATTAGTTTTTAGTGCACCTTGCACAGACTTTAAGTATAAAGTAGGAAATTTAAAATATTGTTATTTATTTTAATATTTGTTTTAATTTAGTTGTATGGTATTTTTTATCCATATCAAATGGAAATAATTGTTCTATATAACAAGAGTGTGATAACGTATAATTTTATCTATAACGTTTAACAGATGTAATCACAAACCAGGATTTAGACAAAAATACAAATAATAGGATAGTTGGAGATATATCGCGATTCAATTTATTATCAGTACCGACAGTACCTGTAATATGTATTTATTGCGTGTGTTGTAAGTTTGATTTTTGTACTACCTACTGTTAGTTTAATAAAGAAAAGTTAAAATGCTAAAAGTTAAACTGTTGTTTTTCTATCGTTTGCATATAGTT